ATATATATATATATATATATATATATATATATATATATATATATATATATATATATATATATATATATATATATATATATATATATATATATATAGTGAGAGAGAGAGAGAGAGAGAGAGATCTGCCATCTCTTCTCGTTCTTCTCTTTCCGCTCGATCCTTTCCTCGTCGGTGGAGTCCATAACGCCCTGCTGTGTTCTCTTTGCAAACACTTCCACGTCGAATCAAGCGTGCCCCGTGAGGTACACAGGCCGCCATTGACGCTCCTCCATCGTTAGTTCTGATATGGCGGCAGTGCGTGAGTGTTTGGTCCACGCCATAGGTGTGCTCGGACAATTGCACTTTTTGAGCTCAAATCAGTAATTAAAACGTAAAAGAAAAAGGGTTTTGAGATATGACAGTGTTCGTGCAAGAGAGAGGGCAACGAACGAGGTGAGGTTAAACATAGGTTAAACTTTTATGTAATATGAAACCTAAAATTTTTTTATTATAAGATTCTATAATATACTATTCTTGAGCCAAGATATATTATCTTGATGTTATTATGATCCTCTTATTATTCTAGAAAAGATTTATTATAAACATGTTATCATTATTATTGATAGCGAAAGTTTGAGGTGGACTACGGTCCCACGATTTTTTTCACATTGAGTTTTTCATGTTAAATATATAGTCCTATTATGTGATTAATTTATTGCTCTACTGTTTATGTTATTCTGGTTGATTATCATTTTGATATCAAGTTGGTATTTTGATAAGGAACCAATTTTGATACACAAAAAAGGAAAAGAATTATTTCGTTTTAACATATTTTCTTAACAAGTTAAATTTAACCCATCAAATTAAATTCAAATTAATTGGTATGATTAAATTGAACTCATCAAATTATTCCACTTGAAGAATATGATGGAAGATTTGCTTTATTGCAAAAATTTATATAAGCCCATCAAGATTAAAGATAAACCTTCTATTATGGACGATGAGGAATGAGAAGTTCAACATAGAAAAGTTATTGTCTATATTAGAAGATGGATGAATATAAATTTGCATGAGCATATTTCTAATGAAACCTGATGTTGTTGGCAAATGTTAAAAAATCTCTTTGCGAAAAAGATAGTGGGAAATAGAATTTCTCTCATCAAAAGACTTGTAAATAGAATTTCTCTCCTCAGAAGACAGTGGTAATATTGTTGAGCACATAAGCCTATTTCAGAGTCTTGCAAACAAGTTGGTTGCTATGAAAATGAATATAGATGATGAGATGCAAGTATTATTACTTCTAACTCTTTACCAGAAAGTTGGGAAACGTATGTGATGACAATTTGTAACTCCACGCCAGAGGGGACTATAACTATAGATATGACTAAAGACAGTTTGCTAAATAAATATGCTAGAAGGAAATAATATGATGAATCTTCTTCTAGTGTTTTTGTTACTGGAAAATAAGAAAGACGTGGAAGGAGTCATAGCAGAAATTCACATGGTTATATTGAAAGATCCAAGTCTAGAAGAGATATTAAATGTTTCCTCCGTAATAGGCCAAGTCACATGAAGAAAAAGTGTAGATTTTGGAAGCGAGAACAGAATGAAAAGAAGAAAAATGAGAAAGAGACCAATACAATTACTGATGATATCATTATTGTTTGTGATGACGGTTGTGTCAGTCTTGCAGCTCAAGACAGTAACTAGGTAATTGACTCTGGTGCTTCATTTCATGTTACTTCTCATAGTGATTTTTTCATATCTTACACTGCTAGTGATTTTAGTAGTGTCAGAATGAGAAACAGTGGTACATCTAAGATTGTGGGTATTGGAGATATTTGCTTGGAGACTAGTATTAAAAGCAAATTGATACTCAAAGATGTAAGGCATATTCTAGATATTTGTCTTAACTTGATATTTACAAGCAGACTTGATGATGAGGACTTTGTACACTATTTTGATGAAAGCAAATGGAAACTTACTAAAGGTTCTCTAATTGTAGCAAGAGGAAAGAAGCTTAACTCTTTTTATGCCATGGAAGCTAAGCTATACAAAGGAGAGATTAAATGTTTCCACTATAACAAACCAGGTGAAGAAAGTAACTGGGTAATTGACTCTGGTGCTTCATTTCATGTTACTTCTCATGGTGATTTCTTCATATCTTACACTGCTGGTGATTTTGGTAATGTCAGAATGGGAAACAATGGTATATCTAAGATTGTGAGAATTGAAGATATTTGCTTGGAGACCAGTATTTGAAGCAAATTGATATTCAAAGATGTAAGATATGTTTTAGATATTCGTCTTAACTTGATATCTATAGGCAGACTTGATGATGAGAGCTTTGCACATTATTTTGGTGAAAGCAAATGGAAATTCACTAAAGGTTCTCTAATTGTGGCAAGAGGAAAAAATCTTAACTCTTTTTATGTCATAGAAGCTAAGCTATACAAAGGAGAGGTTGATACAATTCAGAAGGGTGAAAGTATAGATCTTTGACACAAGAGGCTTGGTCATATCAGCGAGAAGAAACTTCAAACTCTTGCTAAAAAGTAGTTCTTACTAGAGTCGCAAGGTACATATCTTAAATCTTGTGATCATTGCTTAGTTGGAAAAACACATATAGTTACATTTCATACATATCCATAATCTAGAAGATTAGATGCTATTGATTTAGTTTATACTAATATTTATACTATGCAAACTAGAACTCATGGATGTGTTCTTTATTTTGTTACTTTTATTGATAATCATTCTAGAAAAGTTTGAGCTTTTGCTTTGAAATCTAAAGATTAGGTACTCGATGTTTTTAAGGAGTTTCATGTCAGTGTTGAAAGAGAAACTGACAGAAAGCTAAAGTGTATTTGAGCAGATAATGATGGGGAGTACAGGAGTCCTTTTGAGAATTATTGTAGGTTTCATATTATCAGGCTTAAGAAAACAGTTCCTAAAACCCCTCAGAAGAACGGTGTGACAGAAAGGATGAATAGAACCATTGAAAAAAAGATTAACTATAGTTGACCTGATAAATATTTCTCCATCAGTTCCTCTGAAAGGTGATGTTCCAAAGAGAGTATGGAAAGGAAAAGATATATCTTATATCACTTGAGAGATTTTGGGTGTAAAGTATTTGTTCATATTCTTAGGATAATAACATAGAGATATTGATAATAAAGCAAAAGCATGTATCTTCTTAGGATATAATCATAAAGAGTTTGGGTACAGATTATGGAATCCAATGAACAAAAAGATTATTAGAACTAGAGATGTTGTATTTTCTTGAAGACCAATTGTTTGATGATGATGATAATATTGAAAAGCCAAAAACCTCTATTTATATTCTTTGGAGTTTGGGTCCAGTTCTTTCACCTG